CTCCTAAGTAAACATTCTCATTACTTATTCTTCTATTTTTAAGAGAAACATTCCTAATTATAGTTATTAGAACCGGATCATATATTAAATCATTCAAAGTTTTGGATCACCGAGTTAATAATTCAATCATCAGGTCAATTGTCGGTTCAATAAAAAATATTATAAAAAATATAAATATTTTAAAATTTTAAAATTCAAAATTTTAACTCAAGTTATAGTTTAATAATTCAACCATAAAACTATAAATTTTAAAGTATATCATAAACTACAAATTTTAAAATATAAAATTCATAGAACAATTAATTACTAGTTAGAAATGAAATTACTTAACATTTTATTAAATCATATTTTATATTTTACTAGTTGAAAATAATATTTATATTTTAATAAATATAATAAATAATAACTAATAAATAATTATAAATAATAATTATTTTTTACTTGTTAAAATATAAATATTATTTATTAATATATAATAATTAATCTTTACATAATAAAAAAGAAATATCTATATATAAAATTAATAAAAAGGAAATATTTATATTAATATGAAAATTAGTAAAAAGAAAATTAAAATCATTTATATATTTTTTATATGAATGTAGATTTTTTTAATTAATTTTACATATATAAGTATTTTCTTTTATTAGTTAGTTTTCATCATGGTCAAATAATTAATTATTTTTATTAACATTTCATTTTTTATTAATTTTATATATTATTGTTATTTTTATAATTATCTTTAATTATGGTATCAATTAATAATTTTTTTAGATTATTTTTTAAATTTTTATTTTTACACATTTGTAAGTTTTTTTACAATATCATTATTCACATATCTCAAAATATGCTAACATATCATTAATATAAAGATACTAGGGATTTAATAGTAAAAAATAAGAGTTAAGAAGTTTATTTAAATGAAATAGTAGTGTAATGACTTAATTAGATTATTTTAAATACTTGAAAGGTTTTTTTTTCATATTTTACCTAAATTTATTAGTTGGTTTTGAACTAATCCGATTCAAAAAAAATCACATAGTTTACTAGTTTATTATGTAAACCACAAATTCACAATAGTTCATAATAGTTTAATTACAAAACAGATCTAATTACAAATCTGAATCAATTTCAATATTGGTTCACTGGTTTAACTGATCGGACCGATGGTCCAGTCCGATTTTGATAACTATGTTCCTATTAATTGTTCTTCTAATTTTTAGGAAAAATATCTTCATTACTTATTAACTATTGTTAGGAAAACATCTTCATTACTTATTCTACCATTTTTTAGAGAAACACTCACATTATTTATTCTCTTATTTTTTAGGGAAACACTCGCATTACTTGTTCTCCAATTTTTCTTAAAGGAAACACTCTTATTACTAATTTTTCTATTTTTTAGGAAAATGCTCCCTTATTTATTTCTTTTAATATTTCTTTTATTTTTTAAGGGAATACTCACTTACCTATTCTTTTTAATAATTTCCCTATTTTTTAAGGAAATACACCCATTACTAAACTTAGCAATCTAAAACATAACACGTTGATATGACACGAATACGATATAAAAAAAAATAAGACCCAAAAGTAATGCGATTTAAAATTTTAGCAATAATTATATATAAGTGTAACAAAACAAAAAAGATGTATTTCACACTTTCATGTTGACATGAATTGTAATGCATAATTTTTATGTAAAACATTATACGAATATACGAATTTTAATATTTTACATGATACGAATAAATGAATTACCAAATCTACCCATTACCTATTCCTCTTAATTTCTTCTATTTTTTAGAGAAACACTCTCATTACTTGTTCTTTTTTTTTTGAAAATATTTTATTACTTATTCTTAAAAAAAAAAATTAAACACTTCCACTACTTATTCACCTATTTTCTCTATGAACACACTTTCATTACTTGTTCGTTTCTTTTAGAAAAATGCACATTCATACACCACATGTCTAATAGGTAACTCTTTGATTTACAATATTAAAATTTGCTTATTCTATGCATGAAACTTTCTTTGATTTGCATCAAATAATTTTCATGTAAGGGGCAATGAATCCACACATATACAGTCACAAAATATATATAATTTTTTTTCTTTTCATGAAATTTATATCATACATCTTTAAATTACAAGAACAAATATATTTTATTTTCATATATTTTTTTACTTTTTCTCTTTCATTATATTAGTGCATGAGAACTTCTTATACTAAGAATTCTCATATAGAAGGTAAAATATAGATACTTGATTTTGGTTACTAATATTTTATTTTTTAAAATTTTTTTAAAGTTATTAAAATTGAGGATAAGTTAAAACTGATGATAAGACTATTTCAGTGAAAGTTATTTTATGGAACATGTGATAAAATTATTTCAGTGAAGATTATTTTATAAAATAGCTATTCATGGAACAATGTTTTTACATAATAGTTGTTTATAGAACAAGTATTCAAGAAATAACTCCTACATAGAACAATACTTTCACAGAACAATTGTTCTTGGAATAACTTCTCAAGGAACAAGACCAACATTTTTACTGAAAACTCTTGAAATACAAATTCCTTTACTAAGAGTTATTCCACAAAAGATGCTTCATCGAATATTATTTTATCAAAAGAAAAAGTGAAAATAACCTTGGAATATGGTAAGGTTCTTGGGTTTATTCCACTATTGAAATGTTCCAGAGAGTTTGGCATGATGGATCAGATATGGAGATAGTTAAGAAGTTTCTTCTTAACCTTTTCTTGAAATATGAGTGCTTTTCATTTTCTTTTAGAACAAATAGTGAACTTTTATATTTACTATACCTATCACCAAAAACTAAATAAACTTTCATTAACAATACATTAATACCTTTTATAATAGCCAATTCTCCCATTATTCACTATTATTCATATTTAACACCTTTTATAATTGTCAATTTCACCACTATTAATATTCAATACTCAAGACCTATAAGTCATATTCTGGAAACCTATAAATAAAGAGTTTCCACAATTCATTGAGAGACTTTTGAAGACTTTTGGCAAACTTACTCAGTTCTCTTTGCAATTCTTTCTTCCTAAATCTTTTTCTCAGTCTCATTCTCTTCTTTACTCAGCCTTGTTTCACCACTTACCATCATCTGCCGTTACACTTAATATTTCAAGGTATGCTTCAATCTTCCTCTCTGCCATCTCCTGCATATTTTGTTTTACTTGTTTATAATGCTTCCTCACTTCAACTAAGAACCTCTCTACAATTACAAAGCCTCTTTTCCCATAGCGATATTTTCGTAGTCATATACTCTATATTGTATCGTAAATATTGAATGAAACAATTTGATCCGTCACCCTTGATTAGTTCACATTTTTTGTACTTTGGTTTTGTATTGAATTTTTTTTTTTTTTTTACACATAAGAGATTGCAACTTAAGAATAAAGAAAAAGGTTGCAAATATTAGAATTTGAAACTCTAAACTTATTGGATGTCATCTTTTAATGATTGCTGTATAAATCAACTAAACTAAACTTTAGAATATCTTTAATAGTTGCCCTGGATTGAATGTTTATATCTTTAATAATTGCCGATCATATTTTCTCATAAAATGCATAAACTGGTTAGAGTCAATTTCTTGGTTGAGCATTGAAATTCTTTCCATGCTCATAGAAGAAGATAAAAAATAAAAAAGAAAGATATTTATTTATGTCCAGTGAGACTATCCTCAGAACCTTCTAAATTTGAAGGTAATGTTGATATACAGATCGTGTCACTTTTCGATATCACTTTCATGTTAGGTTACTTTCGGTAGTAACATGTCAATTTTGCAAGAATCAAGTACACAAACACTGCTTCCGGCGTGAAAAATCATCCATTAAGCCCATAAATATGCAAACCAAGCAAAGCTTTACAACGACCGGAGCCTGTTGTCGATACATATATTTAGAAATCAGAATAGCTAGGTATTGCCTCCACAGCTATTTACATATATATGTGACGATCAACTTAGAAAATGGGTTAAACTAAGTATATCATCAGAATTTCAAAATGTTGATAAACTTGTATTGCTAGTGAATTTTGAATTTTTAATCATTTTAACAGACCATGGAATAAGTTTCTTTTGAATCTGTTTTACGCTCCTTTTTCTGATCCTTACAACAACTTTGGCGGAGAAACAAATCCACAATCATAGGCCTATAAAAGAACTTTCTCTTCACTCTCTTCACTCCTGGCTCTCAAATACAGTCCTCTCAGTATTAGATCAGAGATGCTTCAAATGTTTTCTTTCAGTTGATTGATTGAAATTCATGAACTGCCATTTAAAAAAAAAAAAAAAAGAAGTTCAGGGTGAGGGAAGGTTTTCTCATTAGGCAGACTGCTGGTCTTAAAGTGATTTACTTTGGATTTACAAATCATCCACTAAAGAAGATTGCTGATGGTAAGACCTCAAACCTAAGCCTTTACAAGGGAATAATGCATTGGCAATTCATGAACTGATTTATCATTATATATAGTAGTTGTTCTACATAATCACGATAAGAAAGAAGCTAAGTTGACAAAAAAGGATAATTCTAGCTTACATTTTGAAAGTTTAGTGGCATGCAGAGGCTCGGTTTACCCTTCTTTTTTATATGGTTTTAGCACAAAATAAGCAAGGACTTAAAATACAAACTTGAACATGGCTATTTACAGGAAAGATTCTCCATGCAAAAGTAGCAATATTAATAATGGTAAATGATGGTCTTGATATTGATATGAAACTAAACTGAACAAACAATTACAGAAAAATGTGATCATAACCAGCAAATTTTCAGCCTTTTGGCGTGACTTGGGATTTGTTGTCCATCCTTTTCCATCCCACAACAAGAAAAAAAAAAAATAAAAACAATTCACATATTAAAAGAGTCTTTATAATTGCTTCCATATGCCAGGTCTGGTTAATTAAAAGGGATTTCATGCTTTGTCATTTCAAAATTCTTCTTCAACACACAAATTTAAGATCATGATAAAGGCAACGAAGCAAACAATGTTTCTAGCTATATTGACAGTATGGTGGGAAGCCCAGGGTCAGTTCTCTCCACCCTTCCACATGATCATAGCAAAGGATGGATCAGGAGATTTCACCACCATCAGTGAAGGAATATCGTCTGCTCCGAGCTTCAGTTCCATTCGGTTCAATATAAAACTATCGGCAGGCATTTACGCTGAGAACATTGTCATTAACAAGGAGAAGACCAATCTGACAATTATTGGGGAGGGGATGGAAAGAACTATTATCACAGGCTGCAGAAGTAAAGATGATGGCATAAAAACATTCGAGACTGCAACCGTGGGTAAGTAAATACAGGAGAAGCAGAAGACATCTGTAATTCGGTATTAAAAGGTTTTGAATTTGTTTTTAGGCTTTTTTTCATGATTCTTGAATATATGAACAAGATGAAATATCGTGCTCATATATGAATGAATGCACAGACACATCAAACCATGTAAGATGTATATATGGCTGACGATATTTAAATATCAATATATGTCAGAGATAAATGGTGATGGATTTGTTGCTTCGGGCATAACTTTCCGGAATACTGCTGGCCCAGAGAAACAGCAAGCAGTGGCGTTGCTAACTAAAGCCAGCCACTTGGCCTTTTACAAGTGTAGCATAATTGCTTTCCAGGATACTCTTTATGCCAAAAGAGGATATCAATTTTTCAGAGAGTGCGAGATTTACGGGACGGTGGATTTCATTTTTGGTGATGCAACGGCCGTGTTCCAGAGTTGCTACATATCTGCTCGGAAGCCACTAGCTGGGCAATCGAACACCGTGACAGCCCAAGGACGAGAAGTTTCCGCTGGACAAGGAGGTTTCGTGATCCATAACTGCATAATTACTGCAACTTCAGAACTGATCGCATCCGAGTATCCTGTAAAAACCTACTTAGGCAGGCCCTGGAGAGATTTTGCTAGAACTGTTGTCATGCAGAGTTACCTGGACAACAGTATCGATCCTCAAGGCTGGCTGGAGTTTGACAGCAGAAGCTCGGACTTGGATTTATACTATGCAGAATATGATAACAGAGGTCCTGGTTCAGCAACAAATGATAGAGTGAAGTGGAAAGGATTCAGGGTCATCGACTCCATAGAAGCTTATCAATTTACAGTCAGGGAATTTATCCATGGTGACATGTGGATTCCAGCAACAGGAGTTCCGTATACTCCAGATTTCATAGACTGGTCTGGTTCTCTCAGGCGTAGCTTTTCGAGTTGTAAGGTATTTGTTCTCCTTGTCAGCATACTGACAACACTACCAATTTAGTATCAAGCATGCTTGTAATATTCAGCAAGTAGAACCTAATACACACCTTAGAGTAACTTATCTGTTGTGATTTTGTACGTTAAAATTGATTCTTCCTTTATCACTAAGAAGAACCCTTTCCCGCCCTTTTTCTTTTTAACTAATTCAGGATTAATTGCACGTAATTTCTCTCGTTCGTGTAGGAGGTTCTGTGTTTTATTATAGGTACGTTCCGAGGGTTTGAATGTTTATGGCTAGAAACGTATATGCTACTTTTATGTTGATCATGAAACAAATTTGCTGCTTTATATTTATGCCAATTGTGCTATGTACTACATGATGAATTTGATATATAAAAAAATGAGATCTTAAATTCCTTATAATCATGTAATTAAAGGAAGAGGCATTGCAAACAAAATAAAAATGATAGTTAAATATTCATTTGGTGCTTGTACTATAAATATTTTGTTAGTTTTATATTTTAAAAAATAAAATTTACATTAAAATTCTTAAATTCTTATTTATTATACACATTTGGAATTAATATTATTAGTTAAATTATTAATGTAATATAAATATTTAATAACATCATAACACGTGATAATAAAATATCATATTATTAGTGAGTTTATCTTCATATTATCATTAAAAATTTTAAAAAATTTTTAAAAAATCAAAATATAAAATTTATTTTTTATTTAAAATTTAAAAAATTATAAAAAGAAAAAGGAAAAGAAAAGAATCGAAGAAATGGGGGAGGAGCAGGAAGAGTATGGAAGGGAAGAGTGGGTGCCAATCTGGCTTGTTTTTGCCAGATATTTGTGTCCTTTTCATCTTTGTTAGCTAGTTTTGGTGGAGTTTTAGGTCATCTTGTTGCTTGTAGAACAAGAAAAGGAACGGGACATGGGGTCTACCGTCTAGAGCTATTATCCTATCATTGTGATAACAATAATAGGTTTTTTTTTTTGGTTGATTCTCTCTATGTTCTAATATTTATGTTCATTTCTTTTGAATTTTGAGATTTTGCACAAATCTTGGGGTTTTGGAGGGTTTTTCCTTATTTGCTACTTCTGCTGTCTGATTTTGATGCTAATTTTTTTTGTTGTTTTTCAAGATTTTCAATATTCAAGTGGATTGATTAAATCATTATTTTTTATTTTGAATGATATTTGAGGCATTTGTAGTTTGATTTATTGACTTCCTTTTGTTAAATATAAAATTATTTCATTAATTTTTGTGGTCTCTGTCTAGTACATGAAAATATTAAAGAAAAAGAAAATATCAAGAAAAAAAAAGAAAGAATTGGTGATGCATGGGAAAATAAGGATAATATTTTTTTATATTTATTTCTTATCTAAAACGTAAAAAAAAAAAGAAAAAAAGAGAGTACTTCAAACATAAAATCAACGTAAAGATTTATTGAGAAAATTATTCATTGTTCATTGTTTTGATATGTTCTATATTCTTGACTTTTGAGGTTTTCTTTTTTATGCTAGAGACTTAAATTTATCTTAGTAGAGTTTTTTTCACTATCTCTATTAATATATATATAAATATATATAAGGTCTTTTAATTTAGTTTTTTTTTACTATATATATAAGGTTTTTTAAAAATTTTATTAATTTTTTAATGCTGATGTGGTGATAAACCTATTAATGATGTGGCATTTTGTTGCCTCCCGACGTCCTTTAGAAAAATAACGTCCGGAGCGAATGAAACGAGAATATCTTCGGCAAGGCAAGCAAGATGCAACAGAGCATAGTTTTGATGGACTATATTGATTGGCTCTTGGCCCATCAGAGAATGACTCTTCACCAAGTTTTGCACATCCTGCCGAATCCTCTGCGTTCCCTGTCGCCTCAGCATATAACTTTGACTCCAATTTTTGGATGACTTGAGGAAGTATTACAACTGTAGCATCCCCATATTGTTGCGAGCAAATATTGAGAATATCCTTAAGAGCAGGATTTGTTGTTCGACTTAGCAATCGATCTATTTGAGCTTAAATCATCCTCCGCCTTTTTAAGGGTGATATCAAGGACGATATGAGCAAGGCCTTTGGTGTCTCCGGTAGAGCTTCATGGTCGTGGATCTGATCTTAGAGTAGAAAAGCAGAGCTCGGTGTCTTTGGTTTTCTTGCATGTTTCGTCTATCAAATCCGCTCTTACCGACATCAAAGACAATGTCAAAACTATGAGCGGGAAAAGATCTGCCAATTTCAAAGACGAGATCTTTGAAACACAAATTGAAGATCCTGACTAACGCTGCTTACTAAAGACGTAAATAATATATTAATATTTATAAATTATTTAAATTTGATTAAAATATAATTTAAATTTGATTCGATTATTATAAAATTAAACTCAAATAATTTGATTTATTAATCGAACCAAATTTAAACATTCTTATATCCCATTCGAATTATTTATGAATCTAATCAAATTTTTATATTTTAATATTTTTTAATTGATAAATTCAAGTTTGAACTCTAATATATATAATCGAATTTTTATTGAATATAAAAATCGAACTTATTTTTACATATTAATTAAATCTAATCGAGTGAACTCAAGTAATTTAATTTTTCTCTTGAATCGAATTTGAACTAAATAAATAAAATTTGATCAATTATCCCCTTACTACAACCCAACTAGCAGAGCAAGAGACTAGAACTACGCCGAAGGGAAAACCGAAAGGCAAGGAAACGGTACAAGTCCTACCCTTTACTGATTACTTCATTTTCATTACATCAATTCTGGTTCGGGGAAAAACAATCAAAAGCCATGGGACAAGACTAACCAAATTTGGGTGTTTCTTTTATCATCAACACATGCTAACAATGGCGGGAAAGACATATTCATCATTCGGGATCAGGATATTATATCAGGTCATTTTCTGCAGAAATATCCCCAATTTTGGAAGGATTAAGTAGTAAACTTATGTCACAACAAATTGCTGTACTAACTAAACTGTACAATAGCTCCAGCTTGTCCTACAACGGTTCATATATACAGAAATCAGCATAGCCAGGCATCGCATCAAAATTTGTTTACATAATCGCATCAAAATTTGTTTACATAAATATCAAGAAGACCAATTGTTTACGGCATGTAAAATACCACATTGGCAACATCATCTGGCAACTTTCCTAGTTTCTTCCCCTACGGAACCAGAAACCTGCTGTTCTACCAAACTGCATAATCAACATGTAACATTCAGAAAATCCATTCCTTGCATTTTATGATCACCATGCACAAAAGATGGGCACCTCTTTAACTGATATTGGGAATGGATTATTTATACAAAAAAATTAGGGAATGGAGAGAGTGAGAGAATATGAACCTAGGAGGATCATGGTCATGTTTTTCAGTCGTAGGAAACTTTTTGTAAAATTGAACAGCAATCAAGCCTTCACTCGAGCCAACTGCTGCTGCAGGAGACCTCTCTAACATCACACTTCCACTGCGTCTGGAACATATACCTGCAAGCAGTTTTGACAGATGTCAGAAATTCCTTCACAGAAGGAAAATTTTGGATTCCGAACCTCAAATTTTCCACACAAAGAAGGGGAAGACAACTTGGTTAGCAGTTGGTTGGTACATCGATGGATAACTAAAGCACTTGCAAAATACATAAAATGCTTGTCATGTTTCATAGGAAGAGACAGAAATACAGGAGCTAAAAGTAAACAAGCTTTGAAGCCACAATTTGAGCTGAAGCATGCTCTCTTTTGTACTATCATGAAACATTCATGACAAGAAATGGAAAAGAGTTATTCCCGAAAGTATACTTTGTCTAGGAATCAAAGTTTTCAAGCTTGATGATAATGGCTTAAAGAATTGGTGACAGTAATTGACCAAAAATGATACAGCAAGGACTTAAAGAATTCCCAATATGAAAAGCCGATTATGATCTTTTGTTAAGCGGATAAAGATCTCTCACAATTAAGCAAGAAAAAAAACAAGGTGAAAGCAACCTTGACAGATGTCAACTCACCAACATGTTCTTCTCAGTCTAATTTGGAAAATATTAATACTCCTGTTCATGGCTCAAGAATTTTCTAAATTGGAAAAAAAATTCGTACTTCTACAGCAAGAAACTTCATATAGCATTCCAAATATTCCCTTTATGACAATTTCTCAGCAATTTAAGGTTCTTAACTCCAGACAAACATTTTAATAGAGTTGATGCAGTTTTTTTCCATTTTGCTTTTCCTTGTTCGAGTGAATGCTTGTCCTTTTATTTTACAGATGATTTTACAATACTTAGGAAATCATGGAGGTGTTCAAATTGCTTCATCTTATCTATCATAGCATGACAATGCACAATTATAATTGCAACAACCCCGGATCATAATGTCATTAGACTAGACATAGTTGAAACAGAGAAAACTCGGCAACAAAGTGTAAGAATCAAAATATATGTGATTATACAAATTAAGTTCATTCAGCAAGCTAAATCTTTCTCTAATAGTTGAAAACCATGTCTCTCCAACAAAGTTATTTGTGAAATTTGAGAAATGAGAGGTTATTAAAATTTGAAACAGAATAAACTAAGGAAGTTTGTTATTTGCCAAATTAACATGCTTCACCCCCCAGACAGACTTTCATCATACCTGGCAGTCCATAAAAGTTTATACTAGCAGACAACAGATTTTAGCCACTGTAATTAAATAGGAGCCTAAAATTTGTCCATGTTAGGAAGAGAATAATTGCTATTTAGGGTTCTTAATTTCTTATTGGAACTCAGAAGATGTCAAATACCATGAAAGAATATGACTAGGCAAAAAAGAACTGTGATGACCATAGCAGAAAGGCTACTGCTTGTTGATGAAGCCCTTGCTGCCTTCATTTTCTTCTTTGCTTTAATTTGTTTCATCCTGGCACGTTTTCTCATGGCAAGTTCAGTAATCTCCCTCACCAATTTCTGGTCTACAGCATCCAACAATGGACCTTTTGGAGGCCGTGGTGGCTTGGGAGGCTTCCTAGGGCTTGTCTTCTTATACTTATCTTCTGGGGAGTTCTTATTCACAAGGGCCATGAGTTCATGATTCTCTTGTTCTGAATTCTTGTCTGCCAAGAACTCCATATTCTCACCCTCAACTGCACCAAAACTTGAGGAACTACCACACGAGTTTATGCCACATTCACCCTTGCCTATTCTATCAAAAGTCAAAAGATCACTCCAAAATGTACTCAAAGTTCTCTTTGTTTGTATATTGGATGAAACATCATCTTTGGTTCTTTCATCTTCACTGGTAGTCCCACCACTTTCAAGATCTACTTCAATATCTCTTTGTCTTGCAAACAAGTGATCCATTCAAAGAAAACTTTTAATTCCTCCCTACCCTTAACTTACCTTCCCCACTTCAGATATACTAAAGTTCAATCCTGTCTACATGAATTAATCCTTCATTTCACATAAATCTCATCGGGGATAGTTCTCACCAAATTAAAGACAAAACTCCACCACACAATACAGCTAAAGTTTGAAACTTTTGATCCAATCACAGCCTCAACTTTGAGCAAGCAATAAATCCTGCATTTGTCAATGGAACAACACATATTAGTAGTAGAAAATATAGGAAAACAAGAGGTCGATTGAAATGTTAACTTGGAGGACAAAAAGAAGGTAAGTTTAAGAGTTGAACGGCAAAAGTTTCATCATCCGAGACAGAATGGTACAAAGAAAAGGACTTAAATAAGTTATTTATCTTTTAACTCACCAGAAAACCAATAAAGCTTGAAATTTGAAATTTTTTTTCTTCTTTTTCTCGGCAGCCAGAGATGAGATAACAATCAGCTCCCAGCCTCTACGTTATAATGAAGCTCCAAAAATCGATTAAAAAAAAAGTAAAAATAAAGGCAAAAAAAATGAAACAGGGAATAAACCCAGAAATACTCAGACACCCTTTAAGATAAAACCCCAGAAAACATGGGAAAAATACACCGCCGACAAAGGAGAAAACAATTCAACGTAAACGCAGAGACACACCTAAGAAAACAGAGGAAAAATGGACGTGCCTTTCGTGAAACAAAAACGTGGTTAATTCGATGTCTACAAGAACCATAAACTGAGAATTCTTCGTTGATTTCGTCTAGCTTTTATCTTCAAACCGAAGCTTGGCCAACTCAGCGTACGCACATTATTATATTCATAACAAGACAATAAACAAAAGCAGATTTAGTATTCTAGGGACCGAAAGGAATTTTAAAACAAAAAAAAAAAAAAAAAGGTTTTTGTGAAGATAGTAAAATACTAAAATTAAAAATAAACAAAGGTAACAGGGTTTTTTTTTTTTTTTTGGTTAGCTGAATCCGGAAAAGTAGGCGTTGGTTTTGTTTGACTATTAAAAAGCAAATTTTCAATAGTTAATTGAAATTATTGAAATTTTTAAATTGATTTTTTAATAAAAATATTTTTTAATATCATAAATAATGTTGAATTAAATTAAAATGTTTTGGTAATTGAATATTAAAATTCTCTTATAAATATATTGATTATAAACTTATTAATTAATTCAATACTTAAATAATTATTTATCTTTTAAATATCATTATTTGAAATTAATTATATTAAAATTTAGTACAATATTTAATTTAATAAAAATATTATTCTTCAAAAAGGTTATTCTTTAGATTTAATACAATATTTGATTTAATAAAAACATTATTAATCAATTCATAAAATTAATTTAAAAGATTATCTCCTTTATATTCATGTTATGATTTTTGTTAACATCAAATTCAATCCTTCGTATCAATTGGTTACCTCAAAAGAGAATATTTATCAAAAAAATCACTTTTGAAGAAAATAATCAACTAAAAATTAGAATTATTCTTGCCAACCATCTATATATCAACATAAATGTCAATTTGTTTTTATTATAAATTTAAACACGAGTAAAAAAACTTTACATGTATTAGTTGATAACGTTTATAATTTCATTTTATCCATGAGGCTTAAGCTTACCCTTATCCACATTGCAACAAAAGGATAAAAAAATTCATCAAAACAAATTGGGTAGTGAAGCGAATCTTTTTTTTTTTTTCTTTTATGTTTATCTTTTCTAAAAGGATAATGATATAAATAATTCTTCAATTATTTTGAAATATCTAATATAATATTTAAATTTTAAAAATTTTTATTATGGTATCTGAAATATAAATTTTTTTAATTAATGTGATACTCGTGTGATTAACTCTAAATGATGATATTAACAAATAGTTCTTCAAATATCACATTAATTAACATATTTATAATTCAAGTAATATCTTAAAATTTTTTTAAATGTAAGTATTATATTAAATATCTTACTATAATTCAAACTATTCCTGAAATTATTCTTCTTCTAAACTACAATGCATTCATGTTGGAATATCTATTCATTTCATCACTACAAATTCTTAGTATATGATGAAATGTTATCTTATTCTTTAATTTTAATATTCCAAAAAGATAAAAAAATAATAGAAGAAAATGAAAAAGAAATGGACTCTAACTAGAGAGGAATAAAAGAAGATCTAGGAAATCTATTTTAGCTACAAAGATCATAAATCTTGATCTTGATTATGGTTTAAGTGTAATGAATACGGTTGCAACAGCAAAAGGTGAACTTGAATTGGCAAATGAGCATCTCATATTGGTTCAAAGCAGAATTGGATTGAAAAAATGCTATAAAATTGGGCCAAAGGAATAAAGAAAAGAATTCTAAAAGGATGACTAAGCTTGTACAGCTATCAGGACAATTAGAATAAGCTGAGCTAGAAAAAATTAGTTAGTGAGCTAAAATTCTAATAGCTGTTAGAACTTTTATTAGATCGTTGTATTCTACAACAACATCATGATGTAATTGAGCCCTATATATGAAAGCATTGTAATAAGATGAATCAAGAGTAAGAAAAATATCTTTACTCTATTCCTTTTTGGTCTCTCTTCCTATTTATGATTTTACTCTTTTTATTCTTTTTTCATTAGCAACCCTTAAATTCATCTTTCCAAAACAAATTTGGTATTAGAGCTTAAATGATCCACTAAATCAATATGGGAAAGCAAAACAGATTTAAGTTTATGGCGAAAGCCATAAGAAACACCATGTATGAGCAACTTCAGGCTGTACATACCCAATTAGAGAAGTTAAAAGTTATAAATACCACTATTCCTAAATGGTGGGAGGATCAAAGAAGGATTCTAGAAGCTGAAATTGATGAGAATCAAGCTAAAATTGATGAAAACCAGAGTTATACTACTCATGTTTTTAAGATGTTAAATAAAAAACTAGCAACATAAAGCTAATCTAAATCAAAGGGAACCAATAGCAATCAACCAACATCAATTTCTCAACCAAAAAAGGAAAGTAAATCTTATTGCTACTTTTCATAATGACTACAAGTGCACGGATCGTAATCAAGTAATAATAGTGATTAAAAGTATAATATTGTTCCCACGAGGATTATAAAATTAAATTTTTAAGTAGATTTCAATTACCAAAATTGATAAACTAAACTCTTATATCTAAACTAATGAAACTTTTATTTGAATTGCAATAAAAAGTAAAGAAAGATTGTGTAGGCCTAGATCTACTTAACCAACTGTCCATTGGCAAACATTAGATTTGACTTATAGAACTATATCTAAAAAACAAAGAATGAAAACTTGAAAACAATAAAAAATTGGGATTGTCGAAACTTGGAATAGCATAAAAGATAGAAGCAACAAAGATTGCATAAAATGCGAATGCTTGTATTGAATAAAAGACTATGGTTGAATACTATGAACAATAAAAAAAAGTTGAAAAATCGATTGCAACAAAGAAAGCTTTTAAAAAAAATAGATCTTGAAATTAAAAATACTTTATTGAAAAAAATTAAGAAAACAAAAGGCTTTTTGTAATGGCTAATCTATCAACTTAGCCTAATACAAAAAACGAAAAACCTAAAAAGAGCTAAAAATCTAAAGAAACTAGAGAAAACTAAAAAGAAAATAGAAAAATGGAATGTGAGATGTAGGATACAAGAGTGAACCCTCCTATTTATACTATTAGGTTTGGCTAAAGGCAGAGATAATGCTCACAAGTTCAAGTCTATCAAAACACCAAAAAAATGAGATTTATCTTAATCTTCTTATGTTGGTCAAACATGGGATTCTTCAATCTTGGAGAGTCTTGGTTGATCATGCTACCTTAGGATTCATTTTAGACGTTGATCTTGCATGGCATACATCTTAATCATGTAATCTTGTATATTCGTCTATGATTGGATTCCAAGACCATGTTGTTTTTCATCCAAACTTTTTAGATTTATCTTGCACAAATCCTTTTTTAATACAACTCCTTGAATGGTGATAAAAAAAAGTCATGGTTGAATAAAATCTTCTTTGGTCGAATGCTTTAGAGTCTTTCCTTAATCAAAACTCTTCAAATATCACATTTGCATTAAGAAGTCCTCTTAAATATAGGAAAACCAAATCCATGTAGGAGTCATCTTGCCCTTAGGATTTCCACTTCAGGTCAAATTTGGTTCCAACCTTACATGCTTGGCCAAATATTACATAAATTGAACTTGTCATAATCTTGCATGATCCATTATCTGAAAATGAATAGAAATTCTACTCTAAGTAAAAAAAACATGTAGATAAAGAAAATAAACATTAAAAGCAGCAAATTTAACCCAATTTAATTTTTTTCAACCAAATTAAACTTATAAATCTCTATATTTTAAAGTGCTATCAAAATCTCATATTGAAGTGACTGTTATTGATGAAGAAGTAAAATTTACTTTCGATCCAAAGAACTTGGGATTTTAACTAAAAACAAGTTTGAACCGTGTTATTTTCAACCAAACTTTAATACAAAAAACCCATTTGCTACCATGAACGCATTTACACCTAAACCCAAGGTTAAATTGCCATGTTTTGAAAGAACTAGCCCTAAAGGATGGTTAAAGAAATGTCATAAATATTTTGCTATTTTCTCTATTGCTGACCACTAAAAGCTGAAAGTGGTTGCAATGTACCGGACAAGCAATGCTAAGATATGGTTCGATGAATATTTTATTTAAAAGCCATGGTTTACATGGGACGAGTTTATTGTTGATCTTTGTTAAAGGATTTATGATAAAACCTACATTGATATGGTTGAAGAATTCAACAAGCTATTTCAAAAAATGACTGTGGAAGATTACTGTGAAAGGTTTAAAGAACTTAAGCCTTGTATACTTCAATTTAATCCTTATATGGTGGAAGGCTATTTTGTATCTAATTTCATCAGTAGGTTGAAAAAGGACTAAAGCTTAGAGTGAAGGCCAATAAGCCTAACAGTTTGGCTACAACTTATAGATTGGCAAAGCTACAAGAACTTTTTATGGAATAAGAAATAGAAAATACAAGTTAACCATCAGGACTAGTTTTCTCATAAACAATTACCAAAAGTACAAACCACTCAGCAACACTACAAACCCTACCCTTAAAACCTCCAACATACCACAGACATTTTTAAACAAAAAAACTTTCATAGAATAGAGAAAGGCTTAGAATTTATGTTTAAATGTGGTTACAAATTCATTCCAAGGTATATATGTAAGACCAGACAGTTAAACCTGATTTTAGTAGAAGAAAACAATGTTAAAAGTGAATCTATCGATCAAATATAACCTAATGTTGAACCAGAAATAGCAAATGAATCAACTAAGCAAGAAGATAGTTTAGAGATATCTATAAATGCCTTAATTGGAAATGTTGGTCACAATACCTTAAAGATTCAAGGAAATATTAGTGGCAAGCCATTTAGTGTGCTTATTGATAATGGTAGCACTTAGTTTTGTTATTTCTCGATGGGCTAAGGATGGATTGAAAATTGACGAAACTAATCCCTTGAAAAACATAATGGCCAATGGGGATAAGCTTTATAGTTTTGCTAAATGCAAATAGCTAGAATGGATTATGCAAAGGCATAAATTCATTCATGATTTAAAGTTACTTCTATGGAATGTAGTAATATGGTGTTAGAAGTGGACTAGATGAGAAAGGACAATCCTATGATTTTTTATTTCAATAATTTGTCTATGCTTTTCAAAAATATAAGAAGCAAGTTACCTTGAAAGCTAGCCAGACTCATGCGAATTTAAAGCTTATCATTGGAAAAAAGCTATAAAAGTT